CCTCAACTCTCTTCTCCTCTCTCTCTCTCCGATGCGGACAGTCTGTCGTCACGCACCGACCCACGAAGTTGTCACCCCGCTTAGTCCTCCCGCACCCGTCGGATTTGCCCGTGCCCACAGTCCGTCGTGGCCCACGTCAATCCCGCGCGTTCGGCACCAGCCCGTCGGGTCGCCCAACTCCTACTCTACTCACCTCTTACTTCGCTCGTGTGCCGACCCTTCCTAATTGCGCAACCCCCAGCTTCCAACAACGGGTTAAGAGAGCTCACTAATCGCGCAGCCGAAATTTATAGCGTGCATGCATGCGCGAAGAACACAGAGTTACCAAGACCTAGAGTGAAGATTAGAAAGGGAACGCCTGCGTTCTACATGATTGGCCACGGCGTGGGGAACGTAACCCTTCTCCACGCATCGATCCGAGCATGCAAGTCGCGACTTACAAAATTTCAGCAAAAGAAAGAGAGGGAGGGCGGGAGAGACGAAGTGCAGGAAGAGAGATACAGTTACAATGGCGCCCGTCCAAAATTACAGTTACACATACGATTAAGGGAGCCCACTAATCAGAGTACCGTTGCAGCCGCATGAAGAAGCGCGTAAACAAAAGGTGCCGCGCGGCAGGAAAAATCTTAATTACTGAATTCCTAAATTCCTATCTAATGCGAAAAAGCAAAAAGCACGAATTCTAAAAGGAAAGTCTGAAATTCCGAGAGTCATTGGGGGCTCGACAAAATTCGAAAAAGATTCAAGAGGAAATTTAAAAATAACGAAGCAATTTCCCTCGCGATGTCCGCGCCCAAAAGATCAAAAACCGAACCAAAAGAAACGACGTCAACATTTAATAATCGCGCGCGCACATGGCATCGCGCCAGACAACCATCCGACCAATTCAATCAACCGGCCGTCCCAAGACACACCCGACCCCGTGCCCGGCCATTTCGAAAAAGGCGTGACGAAAAAGGACGAAAAAGCGAGGACACTGATGCAATTCTCCACCGATCCCGATCTCCCGTAATTGGCCCAATCTTCCCAGTTTAGGACCCCTCATTGCAACCGCGCAGAAAATCGCGCGTTACAGAGTGGTTCGTCACATATGTGACGCCCAGGGGGTTCCAATATTAGCAAGCTCCTGCTTGCTTGTTGACACGTGTCGATTTCTCTAATTGATCGACACGCGGAGCAGTTCTCTGTATGCCACTTACTGTTCGATTGCGTGTGGACGCCATCCAACGTGGCAACTCTGCTCTTCTACTAGTTCCTCAGATTGGGCTCTTCGACGATCCAAGGACGGGATCTTTCTCGTGCCGTTGCCGCGACACGCGTCCATTACCGCTGCATCAGTAATTAACCGGAAGGGGGAAGGGAAGGCGATGCTCGTATGAGGGAGGGCGGGGCGGCTCCATCGTAAGCTCGGGTATGAAGCGCCCGATCGCAGTGAGGTCGTAGGGAAGTTCTTGAAAACGGACAATGCGATGGAAGTGGGGGAATCTCTGGCCGCTGCGGGGAAGGGAGGCGAGGTAGTTTAGGTAAAGGGATACGAGGGTTCGGAGGACGTTTGTGCGGAACCGATCATGGTTCTCGCATGCGGGGAAGGTCCCCGTAACGATGCAGTAAACCTCTATATGGTTACGGCCTCACCACGCGGCGCTAAGGAGTAGAACGTGGAGGGAGTAGTCGGGGACAGCACACCGAACGGAAGGGTGGGGTGGACAGTCGGTTCTAGGCAGGCAGAGTAGAAATGTCGGAAGGTGGCGATGGGGAAGGGATTACGCGGGTAGACGACGCGATGGAAATACTGATTGAAAGAGAGATAGCTAAGGGGATGGTGGTATATGGATCGGGGACGAAGGGCTAAGCCCCTCATTGACACGTTGACGAATTGGGGGACGGCCGGAGGCGGAGGGGGACGTGGATCGGGATCGGGATCGGTGCCTTGTCGTCGCAGCTCCCGAGGTCGTGGCAGCAAGGTCTCCATGTTCCGGCTTGGGCGGCTCGGGATCCTTGAAAGGATCGTTCGGTGCGGGATCGATCGCCAGCCACTTTCCTTCCTCGATCTCTTTCTTGCGCTGCGCAGCAGCCTCCAGGTTCTCCTCTCGTCGATCCGGTCCTTGCACCCACTCGAGCTTGTCGTGCGTTGGCTCCTGGTCGTCCCCGCTTTCCACTTCTTCGTCGCCTTCGTCCTCCTCCTCACTTTGCTTGCCCTCGCTGTACTCGTTATAGGCCTCTTCCTCTTCCTCCGAAGTCTCCTCCTCTGCTTCTTCTTCTTCTTCTTCTTTAGCTTCCGCCGACCCTTCTTCTGCTTCGCTCTCTTCTTCCTCAACCTCGGCCAATCGGGCCGCTGCTTCCCCGGCCTCTCTCCTAAATTCTCCTTCCGATTCCTCTTCGGCCTCCTCTCCTGCTCTCAACGCCGCCCACTCGAACGTTGTTGGTTGCCGAAAGAAGCGGGGATTAGTCAGGCTGTGGACGTCCAGGTACTCGCTACGGGAGGGAAAACGGTCGTCCGCCCAACGCTCCTCGATACAAGCCGACCACTGGAGGCTCGGGGCGAGAGTCCTTGAGAGGGTATGTGGCACAGGTTCTTCGTCGCTCTAAGAGACGATGTCGAGAGGGAGTTCGTCGGCCAATCTCGCGATCACGATCGTAAGTTCGTGCACGATCTGTGATCGGTTTCCCCGATCCACTGCTCCAAAGACGAATCCCAGAAGATCTCCCGCCACGTTGGTCCTCCACGCCTGAATGACGAGCAACTCCACAATCTCTGACGCGGGCCTCTGATCGCCTTCCCACGTCCAGTTCAGATCCACTCGTAGCAGGCAAAACGAGAGCTCGACAAATTCTGTACGCCACAACCACCAACGGTCCGGATCAACGATGGGTACTGTCAGTGGCTCCAGACGGAAGGAGAGACGAGGGTAGTGAGTGGACTGCCAAAAGATGGGGAAGAGAGAGGAGGAGAGAACGTCGAGATCGGCGCGCGGCTCATCTGCGCGGCTGGAAGGGAGCAAGTTCTGGGAGGACGACAGGTGGCTCGCGTAGCGTCGTGCGCAGCGTGTTGACTTCGATGCCATCGACAGGATAGCACTCGTCACCGTGCCTTGTGAGCCATCGATCCCAATCAGCGGCCATATCGCGACCCCACCGGTACAAGGTGCTTTTGATGGCGGCTTGCCGCGCCGGATCGAAGGCGGTGATGTCGCCGCTAAAGACTACCACGGTAGACACCTGGCTGATTCCCGGGGCCGCTCGTCGTTGGAACGCCGTTGCCTCGGCCAGCACCACTACCTGGGGATTGCTCGTGAATCGGAACTCTGCCGCGCCGTATACACCCGCAGTGCAAAAGAACTGCGCAAGGCGCATGAAGTCGGGGCTGATCTGCGGATGATGCACTTGGCGGATGGCTGAGATCTCTCCCCGTGGCATCAACAACTGATCACTAAAAGCTCGCTCGATGGCGAAACTCATGGCGGTGGCGGGGGTGACGGGGTGGCAGAGAGGGAGCAAGAAAGGGAGGGAGATGGCAAAGAGTGCGAGTCGTCGTCGGCGGCTTCCTCAGAAAGAGAGATCGAGGGAGAGGGAGACGGAGCAAAGGGAAGGAGGCGAAGATAGGACACGTGGCGTGTGATCGGACGAGCCGACCGACTGCCGGAGACTTCAGGGGCGAGACGCACGGTGTCCACGCCGTTGGGGCCAAGTTCGATCATGCGATATCGCCCGAAGAATCGTGGCGCTAGCTTACCCTGGCGAGCACATTTCCTCACCTGCACCACGTCCCCCAATTTCTACTGGGGCCGCGGACGCGCATTCCCATTTCGGGCCTCGTAGCTCCGGACCTGTCGGCCCTGGGCTAGTTCGGTCATTTTCTGTCGTTTTCGGGCTAGCCTGGGCAGCGACCGTTCCATTAACTCTAAGTGTCGTTTGGCCTTGTCCCGAGCCGTAACCCTGGTGGGCCGTCGGTTCAATGTAGACTCATCCGGGAGGCTTGGTATCGAAACGCAAGCGACACTATTGGTTCTTAATTGGAAGGGGCTCAGCCCCGTCGATTCGTGGGGCGTTCCTCGATGGACCGCCAGGATGTGATCGACGATATCGAGCCAGGGTCTCGGATCCCGTGCCGCGATGTTTCGTCGCAACGCTGTCTTTATCATCCGGTTAGCGTTTTCGACCAGCTCATTGGATTGTGATATGTGGGGTGCAGTGTTCCATATGGCGACGCCATCGTCACCATGTAGGACCAGATTCCTTAACACTTCTCCCCTGAATTCAGCCCCGTTGTCGGTCAGGATTTCTTCCGTATCCTGATGCATCCCGAGGAAACGGTTGACATATCGCGCGATTTCCGTGGCTTGCCGCGTGCGACAAGGATACGCTTCGATCCATTTCGAGAAATTGTCGACCAATACCAATAGGACTGAATATTCGCAACTATTAGGGCCAGGGGACACCACTATATCGGTAGTGTCCATGCTTACTCTCTGAAATGGTCGTTCAACAACCGTGGGCACTATCGACCTTGGTGGCTGAATCGGTGCTTTATCAGCGGCGCAGACTTGACAGGTGGCGACGATGTACTTCACATCGTCACGGATATTGGACCAGTACCACTCATTTTTGTCGATAGCGGACTCTGTGATTCGTACAGCAAAATGAGCCGCAGTTTCCTCGTGGGCTGTCTTAACCCAGTCATACCGCATGAACGGATGCGGCACCACCATCCAAATCCCACTGCCGTTCGTTTTTCGGTTTTCTAATCTACCCTCTATCCATCAATAATCCTGAGCCCTTTCGTTGGCCCTCCTCCGATCTTCCTTGGTGAAATCCTGGAGGGGGTTACCTACTAGGGTGGCAATTAAGGCAATATCTGTCCATACTTCGGCCCATCTAAACTTTCGAGTCTTTTCCAATCTTTTTGACGTGGCATCCAAAAAGCGAGCCTCGGTCGGAATTTTGTCGGTCCGGCACAAGGGGCACAACGATGGCTTACTATCGTTCCTGTATTGGATGCACGAGCCATGGGCCCGTGCAACACACTGTCGGCAATCTATCCAATCCGCATATCCTCCCCGTTAGGACGCATGGAGACCGAATAGACGCGGGAGATGGCTTCGCAAAAATAGCAAAATTTGTCAGGCAGGGAGAGGAGAGACGAGGAGGAAGGGGGAGAAAGAGGGGTAGTGGGGTTACCTTCATCACCCATCGCCATCGTTTTGCTTCTTGCCACGTGGGAGAACTGCCACTTGTCCGTACTTCGGCTCGTTGGTCAAGTCCGGCTCTTTCCACGGTGTAATTTCCTCGCCCTTTGGTACCTTGGCAGGTCGATGCAGACGTGTCAGCCTGTCCGCGTTGCCATGTCGCTCTGTCTTTCGATGGACGATATCGAAGTCGTATTCTTGTAGTCGCACCGCCCAACGGCCAATCGTGCCCGTGTAGTTGGTGAGCTTCTTCAAAGCTAGTAGAGGCTCGTGATCCATCACGAGGCGAAACTTATGTCCGTAGAGATACGGATGGAAGTGCTGGATTCCCCAGACCACCGCATAGCATTCGCCTTGAGGCGCTGAGTCGTTCCTTCGTTCGTCCGGCACGGTTCGTGACGCGTACTCGATGACATGTTCGCGACCATTGTTCCCCTTCTGCGCTAGAATAGCGGAAATAGCGTCCGGTTGCCAGTCCGTGATGAGAATGAACTGCTTCGAGGGGTCCGGTCGAATCAAAATAGGGGTCGTTGCCAGAGCGTCCTTGAGGGTTGCAAAGGCCTGTTGGCACTCCGCGTCCCAGCTGAGAGGCTGGTCCTTTCGTAACAGGTTCGTTAGTGGTCGTGCAATCGCGGCAAAGCCCTTGATGAAGCGCCGGTAATACGACACCAGTCCCAAGAAGGCTCGAACCTGCGTCAGTGACGTAGGAACCGGAGCTTCCTTCACCGCCGCAACTTTTCTCGAATCTGGCCGCAATCCTCCACGTGTCACGACATAGCCCAAGAACGAAATTTTCGAGAGGAAAAATTCGCTCTTCTCAAGCGCAATCTTGAACCCAGCGTCTCTCAATGCACCCAATGTCCATTCGATGTGTTGCGCGTGCCCGTGATAGGTTTCCGAATAGACCAAGATGTCGTCCATGTACACGATCACGCAGAAGTTAATCATTCCTTGCGTCAGCCGTGTCTTGTTGACGAAGTTCTGGAATGTCATGTTCATCGCTCGCTGAAACGTGGCAGGCGCATTGCAAATCCCCATCGGACACCGAACCCACTACCACGTGCCCTCAAACAGCACAAAGGCCGTTTTCGGCCGATCTTCTTCCCTTACCAGAATATGATGGAAACCATGGCGAATATCAAACTTGCTGAAATAATTAGCGCATCCAATCGCATCCAACAGATCATCAATCCGGGGGAGGGGATACACATCTTTGATCGTGATTTCATTTAGCTTGCGATAATCAATGCAAATGCGAATCGCTCCATTCTTCTTTGGTACTAACACTACGTGAAAGGACCACGGTCCGGTAGCGGGTTCAATCCCGCCGCTAGTTTCGAACTTGCGAATTCGTTCGAGAGCCTTTTTGCGTTCAATCAAGGAATAGCGATAAGGTTTGCAATGAATCGGGGTGTGATTTCCTGTCTGAATTTCATGTTGGATTACTAACGACAACCCAATATCAGTGTCTGACACACTAATCGCTACTTGATATTCCGTTAGGATATCCACAATTACCCGGTGAATTTCATCCGGCACATTGTGGAACGTGCAGTTCAAAAAGTTGGTCCAAAAAAAAAAAAAAAAAAAAAAAAAAAAAAAAAAAAAAACGTTGGTCCCAGATCCGAACGTCAATCTGTTTCGTGTTCACCTATTTTGTCCAGTCGGGTGGAGGCGCCGAGATGAATAAATGATTCGATCGCCAGGAGAACACCGTGGCCATCATCTGGGCATCTTCCTCTCACATTGCCACGTGTCCCTCCGGGGTAATCCCGTCACAAACGTCCTGCCATGGCACTTCCTTAGTTGCGATCTTTATGCCCAGTCCGTTTGTTTCTGTTTCAAAACGCCCAGAGGGTTCCAGAGAGCTTGCTTCCGCCCCCAAGCGTAACAATCTTACTTCTTTAGCCGAGGTTAGTAAGGACATGGATAGATCTGTGATGTCACAGTAATGCTTCTTTTCGCTGTACCGCGCGAGGAGAGGGGTGATTCCTTCGTACAGGGTTTGAGGGGGTTCCAAAGAATCGACCATCCTCGAAATCTGCACGAGGGGCTCACCCAAGATCATCGCCTTGGTCCTTTGAATTTTTCGGCTGGTCAGTTGCATCGTTCTCGCTATCGTTTTGGGTGGCGGGTAACAAACACGCTGTCGTACTATTTCAAGATCTCCAGATCATCCTCGTCACTGCTTTCCGCATCGTCTGTTGATGACTCTCCTTCTGCGGATCTCTCCCAGGATATCATGCGGATAGTCCCTGCCATCATCGGTGAAACCCACGGAACCGCGTTAACAGTAGTGCGACGGGTCAATCGCATGGGCACAGCGTAGGGTTTTCCCCCGGTATTTCGGAGGACGATCGATCGTCGTTCGAAATCCAGGTTTGCTCATAGCGCCACAAGAGCGGGAAGTCCGAAGAGAACGTCGTACGTATTGACATCTAGTACTAGGACATCCCCAAGCGCGTGCACTTTACCCAATCGAAAAGCGACATTGGTCATTCTTCCCACGGTTTTAATTCTTTCTTCGTCAACCGAAACGAGTTGATCTTCCTCAGAAAGCGTGATCAGGTCGTTTTTCCTACCTGCCCTTTCGACCACCCTTAGTGAGATAGCCAACACAGCCGCTCCAGAATCTATAATAGCATTGTAAAGGATTCCCCAAATTTCTATATCACACTCGGCGGATTTCCACGGAATTGGTTTAATCCGCAGGAAATGATCATCTTTCTGGATTAAACCTACCCGTATCGGATCCGGAGTACTTGCGGGGTTTTCTTCGGGCGCGGGGCTTTTGGCTTTCGCGTTCGGGGTTCGGGCAAGGGCGAATCGCTTTGGGTTCGCTTTGCAATGCTGTAACATTCGCTCGTTGGCTTGCTCGGAGATCGAGAGCAGATGACCAATCGGAACGGGAATCCGATGGTCCAAAGTTCGGATGATGTTCAATACATCGATCTCCCCTGTGACGAAAGTGGGTCCTCCCGACTCCATTTCTCCTAGGGACGGTCGCCAGTCCGCCACCTCTTTTGGTTCTGGCGCTGGTCTGATTGTTCCGATCATTCCAAGCCCAGGATATCCCAGCGATACGTACTGATCTAGCGCGATTAGTTCGGCGGCCTCTTCCGAGGTAGTCAGGGCACTTCCCCCACCCTCTACTTCTTCCATCAAGGCTCCGACTCGTCCAGATCCGTTGGCGATGGGAGCCGCGACCATGGGTGCGGCTCCGGTCCGCTGTTGTGGGGGTCGGTGAGGGCAATCACGGGCTAGATGTCTAGGCTGATGACAGGCATAACATACATTCATATTGTTCGCAACTCCCCCGAGCGCAGGGGCCGGGGCTAATCCTTGCGGCATCGGAGGGGCGCGTACCGCAATAGGTCGCATGTTCCTCATCATGGCTTCCAGCCGAGCATTGTGCTCTCGCTGCTCCTTTTTGCTTTCTTGGATCAAACTAATCAAGGTTTTGGTTAGTTCGAAAATGGCCACCGATTCGTTTGACCGTACAGGAGCCTCAACCGGCGGCGGGGGTAATGCCCTGACGGGGGGGGGCAACATAGGAGCAGAGATGCTCGGAGTCTTACTTAGGATTACTCGTTTGGGGCCTATCTGTTCCATATAGGTGACATGTCCTGATACGAACCCCATGTTTTCAAATTTGTTCTGTAAAGCAGCCAGCTCTGCTCTGGCTCGAGCGAGCTCGGTCAAATCTCCGTCCCTAGGGTAGTCTTCTCCTTCCAAGAAGTTCGCCGCGAACTTCCGTTCCATTTCTTCCGCAGCAGCCATAATTTGTTGTAGCGTATGGGTGATGGGGGAAAACTTCTTTCGCAACTTAGCCCTTATTATCCGGCTGTGGAGTCCGTCAATGAACAGATCTCTCCCTTCTTGCTCACCTCGCTCAGTTTTTACGAACATTCTGTAGAACCGGTTTCGATATTCCGCGACGGATTCGAGCGGTTTTTGCACTTAGTACTTGATCATGTACAGCGCTTGCTCAGGGTGGACATAATCAAATCGGTTCATGAAATCTCGTTCGAAGGTCGGGAAGTCCACCCACACATAGGTACTATACCAGTGATGAGCGTCTCCTCCCATTCGAGCCGGAATGTTGATCTGTGCTTCATGATCGTCGTACTGTTGTGCTCTAAGCGTGGCCAGCCATGCTCCTGCGAGATGGTGCGCTGGATCAAACAGATAGAGATCTGGTGGCGACATGGGAGCTCGTGCACGTGGGGCAGGTTGGTTAGGTGGATTAGCATTTTGTTGCGGAACCGGATTTTGCACATTGGCAGCCATATTTGCTGCTCGTCGGTTAGCCGATCTGCTTCTGGTGACGATAGGGTCGCGTCTATGTGCGTTCCGAGGGCGAGGTCGCCCTCGGTTAGCCAGGTCGCCTAATTAACGTGCTATCAATCCTAAGACCCTAGCCACGTGTCTAGCTCCGATACCAACCTGAACTCATTCCGGGGACCATAGCCTGTCGTGAAAGGAGATCACTGGATTTAGCCAGTCCTTGGAAGATCTCCGACCGTGTCTCCGAGATGCAGTTGAACGGGGAGTTCGTGAACGCGAGGTGTAGGTGGGATACCAGACCAGACGTGGCAAGGCACGAAGCAACGTCTTCTCTGTATTTACGTTGATTACTGACGTACTTACCAGCACATGTAGAGAACCTAAGTCCAATATGGACCTAACACACCTGAAGCGCACTGCAGACTCAATCTTAAATGAAAATGAAAAAGATGAGAGCAT